TACTAGCGTAGCGGAATATGGAGCAATTAGCGGAATTTTGGTTCATGTGTAGTGACTTCATAGTTAATCCAGTTGGCAACACTGGTAAGACATCCTTATGCAAAACTTGATTACCTTCTGCATTCATTTGAGTTTCTAGCTCGTGAGTTATAAGAGGATCGAAAGACTGTTCAATCATTTCAAGGTACAGATTGACAGCCAAGTTCTCTCCCAGGAATAATGGACCAATAATGATATTTTCAATAATACCAGCCCAAACATTAACATTTTGTAAATGTTGTTTATGCTCTTTCCGAAAAATATTTGGGTTTTAGTCACTCCAATAGCGACAATTTTGTTTATTAACATTGCCATTCAGAAAAAATTAACACTCATCGCTAAAACACATATTTAACAGAAAATTAGGGATGGTATTGATTCAATGAGACATGATTTCACACATGTCTATTCTTCTATTATGATCATCCTCGTGGAACTCTTGAAGAATTTGTATTTCATAAGGATGAAGTTTATGCATTTCCAATGCATTTCTCACAGTCTCGCGTGACATTCCCGTCTGTTCTGATACTGATCGTAAGGAGCTCGTGGGTTCTGCACCAAATTTTCCCAAAACTTCAATTTGAGCTGCTTCATTTAGTACTCTGGTGTTATTTCTATTTTATTTGTCACTGAACCAGTTTCGTAAAACTTATTCACAAAATCAAGCACATACCGGTCACTCGCTTTACAATTTGGATGTCTTTCTTTAAAAAGGCATGCGCCCTTCGTGCGCACTTTCGAACTTCTCCCTAAATTATGATATATTCAAATATGTCTTGAAGAAAGTAAACCATTTTTACACTTTTATACAGTTAATAGCCCAACAGGAACAACTGTATGCACAATACTACCACATCGTTCAAATGTGCGAACCAATTTTTTGTCTGAAAACAGAAACTTTACAGCAGAAGTAGCCAAAAAGGACAGCTATATGTACACTCTCTGCGGTGAGAATTAAAAATTCAGCAGTTACTAAACACAACTATACTACCATCTACGGTTTACTATTAGACTACTTTTTGATGAAAATTGGAAATAAGGGCTAATGTTACCCCTAATCAGGGGTTGGAACAGCACCACCTAATATTCTTACCAGTTCTGGTCAAACCATGCATCTCAGTATAGGCTACTAATGATTACTTCTGTTACTTTGGAAAGCTATTTTTCGGAAAATGCTCATCAAAAAATAATAAATCAGGGTATCATTGGAAACAGGATTGAACGCCAATCAAAATGATGTGCTACTTGAGACCCCCGCTTCCCATTTAAAATTCTAAGGGGGTTAAACCACGGGGGCTATAAATAATCAGTGTCCCCCTTGACAATAAAATTGACCTGGTTTTTCGATTCCTCACATTGTTTACTGGAAGGAAGATATTACGGGTGGGAAGTTTACAAATTGACATCCTTTATTATCTAGCTATGTAAGAAACATATTTTCAAATATTTATACTTTGATTATAAACACCGTATATTTGGAATATGTATATTCTTTCTCAACTGGAAATCAATAGAAATACCTATGTATCTGATACGAGTGGCAATATGGCATAATAAAAAATATTTTTCGATATTGAAACATATAAAACTCTTGAAGAAATTAAACAAAATAAAAAACTAACAATGACAACTTCCATATATTATTTGTTTATATCCATATCCATTCATGAAGTATATTTTGGGCAAAACATATTTGATTAACTCACCAGAATTTTCCCACTGAGAATCACAAAATATCATGTATACTTCTAATTATAAACTTTGTCAGAGTAGTCACACACAATTTTACATTACGTACTCTTATCAAAAAGTCTATAAATTATAATCTTTATTTGTAAGGATTAAATTGTTAAATGACTGAAAGTTAGTAGAACCTGTGAAATTTTCGTTCAAAAATGGTGATTTCATAAATATATATCATTTTGTGCACGTTCAATTATTATAATAATATATTTTTCACACAGAGAAATGCAGAAAATTGATGAAGACATATAGGTAAAATTATGAATAATAGATGAAAAATCCTTGAATAACAACATTCATCTATCATCTAAAATATTATTGAATAATCTTCAATGAAAAGGAAATTAAATCACAATACCTAAGAAGTGAAGGATTGATAACTCTACACTAGAAAGTGTTACAATATTTGATGAAGAAGATTGATTGTCTCAATATTTGAAAAATAACACATATTTTCTACATAAACGTATTGGTCGACATTCAATCAAAGGAGGGTTACTATCCATTTTTCACACTTTGGTTGAACATTTTCAGAGAATGGATATTTTGTAATCCAATTCAGCGCCAAGGTGAAAATAACTTTTTAAATAAGAATCATTGTGAACCACATTCAAAGAAACGTCCAAGAGACTCTTGTGGGTTTTACAACAAACATTCACCCGTTCTTTTAATGAATTTATGAATATTTGCTGTTGTAATTGAAAAAAGATGACAAAAATCGAAAGGAGCAATCTATGACGTCATTATTATAATTGAATTTTCTGACAGTTTATTTATGACATATCAATCTTCTGCTTACCCTGTGATCTGATCAATTCCGCCTCTAGACAAATTGTTCGCCACTAAAGACAGCAAACATCAATCACCACTATTTCCAACTTGAATAAATCGATCAATTTTCAGTATGATCGTTAATATTCATGATTCTTCATTTCACTTTCCAGTTTTGATATTGTACTGAGTATATACAGCCTACCTTTACTGAATTAGCACTGACTCGTTATCTATTTGTTGAAAATGAATAATGCTCAAGCGAATTAAGTAGAACATCTGATATGAAATATCTTTAGTAATACATGCAAATAGTAGGTATTGTATAAGTAGTAAGTATTAATGATTTTGAGTATTCATCACGGTTTTGAAACATTAACTACCAAATGAAATGAATGTTCCTTGTGAAGAAAAGTTCCTCCGAGATAAAAAATAGAACAATTAAACAAAAAATAAAAATAAAAAACTATGAGATTTCAAGCCAAGTTACCTCACGACGTTTCGATTGTTAGTATCCACAATCGTCCTCGGGTGATCACTGAAATAATTCCTCTGAAAGATGACTATATTCGAGTACTTTCACTTATCCTCTTTTCGCTTCACCGGTTTAGCGGTAGATGACCGTTTGGCAGGAGTTTGGGGGTTTCAAATCATTTTATATAATATTAGACAATGGAAGTCCGAACTAATGAAGTTCATATTGAAACATTGTCAATCACCTTTAAATTAACAAATTTAATTGCTGTCAAACACATGTTACTTATTTTGGTCTACAAAGCTTTTGGAAAATAGCTGAAAATATATACTTGTTGAAATATATTCCCATTTCTCAACATTCGAGTAATTGTAGAGGAAAAAACCTTAATTAGTTGAATGAAAAGGTATTTTGAAAATGTCATTGCTGAATCTAGTATGTCTGTTAACATTGGAATCAACTAAGGATTCGATTTCATCACACAGGCTCTGCTGATAAATCCTTACATTTTTTATGCTTTAACTATAATATACATATTCAGTTTGTGATTTGAAGTCGAGTTTTTTATGAAATATAATTTCTAGGCCTTTTATATCTGATGTTCTTTTCAAGTAAACATCATCAATGCAATAGTCAGTATAAACTGTAAGCATTGTTCTGAAATACGATAGGCATTGACATTTAGCTGTATTAAGGTCCATTCAACTGATCATACACTTCATATGATTCAATGGAATCTTCCTGAAGAATCAAAATGTCATTCATTCAGGCAATTGATTTAAATATCTCCAAATCATCTCCATATACCAGCTCTTAAGTAAATGAAAGAGAATGTACACTTGCTGATTATCCCCATGTGACATGTACCTGATAGGGAATTATCCAACAATTTTGCATTAATTCATGAAAATATAATGAGCAATGAGCAAATCATGGCTCATTATATTTTCATGGCTCATCATGGCTCATCATTGGAAAGCGAACGTATCGTTCGCTTTCCAATGATGAAATTTTCATTGACAATCAGAATGGAAGGATGTTGATAAAACCTATGAAGCAAAGATAAATACCCGGAATACTTTCATACAGGAGTGAACAAGAGAGCTTTCTCGAGTGCCTTCCCCGAGTCAGAAATCATAAATGTAACACCAGAATACCCTATCCAGTGGGGTACACAAAACCAAAGATCACTCCAAAAGTTACTATCCAGCGAATCCGATAAGTAAAACTTAACCACGAAACACGAACACACCCACAAAATCTGGTACCTCAACATAAATATAGTTCGCGACACAAACACACACATACCTCTTCACATTTAGGCACAGGAAACCACCATGCAAACACTACATATAGTGAAGGAAGGTATAACAAACAGAACAGATAAAAAGTATGGGTACTAGAGTACTATAGGCCGAATTCCGACTATACGAAGTTACATATCAATCTTGCCGAAGTGCCAAGTAATAGCTTCAGAACCGCTCGGAAGAGAGCAGAAGTGGACGAATCAGATACTAGATCCTCCACACATCGATCGTGTAAGAAAGATTCGATCACAGGGCATTCAACTCCGAGGAGGATATGGTGGTGGAGTGACATATAGAAATGTTGCGCTTTATTCAGTCTTCTTTAGACGCTCACTCTACTCACATCTCTCTGGTTGAGAAACCTTGCTCAGATGAAACCGTACAGAATCTTCACTTACTCTTTCTTAGAGAAAAGATGAGTGCCAAAGCATTGAGGCGAACAATCTGGTGTGGTAAATTTGGACGTCCGAACCTCTAAATCTTCCATATTCACCAAATATTGTATTGAATTAGTTCAATTCAATTATCTTAATGGGGAAACCGCCGCTGATGTAGACAAAGACAATAAACAAATCGCCCAATACATATTTTCCAACCCTGAGACTTCCACAGCACCTCGCCGGTCATCAATTGGGAATAAGAGTCAATTCGGGTGTCACGCAAGCCAGAAGGCGCGGAGCGCCGCCACTCCTGATGGCCTAGTTGAGAAAGTGCCAGTCGAACCGCGAGCGTCGCGACGTCTGGTACTTACGGACAGAGCGATGGTGCGGCGTATTTCTCTTTCCGTCGCGCGGACAGGGAAAACCCATGGGAATATTCTTGAGCCACGGCACTGATGTTCATGGGTATGGTTATTATTTTGATTGGGCTTTTAGAAGAGTTATTTTAGGTGGCAGAGAAAGACAACTATAATATTTTTGTAAAGTAGAAAATTATGTCATTGGGAGAAAATCAGATGTTCAATTTTGTTGAGAGTGGAAATTGATGGAAAATTCGTGGAAAAGTTCGCAAAATTGTGTATATGAAGTTAATGATATTTGCTCATTCTGCTTTCTGTTGATTGTGAAAAGTTCAAGTTTTCATTAAATGAAGTTATTCGAAAATATAAAGTAAACTATTTTACTTGAATATTACTCGCGTTTTTTTCAACACCAAACCGTTATTTTAACACATCGACACGTGTTTCGATCACCAAGAGAGAAGTTTGATCTTCCTCCTCAAGAGGAAGATCAGACTTCTTTGAATTCTTGTTTGAATTCCTGACCGTGTTAGGAATCACATGTTAGAAGGTAAGACCTCATTAGTCCTTAGCTTGCACAAGTTTCTCAACTTCTGAGAGTTGTCGTTCGTATGGGGGCGACAGCTGATTAACGGAAAAACAGATTTTTTGAGGGTAATTCCCCAACAGTAACTGAACATTCACAAGGCAAGAGTCGATAAGACGATAAGATTGAGTAATATGATTAATATTTAATGAAAGGGAGCTATTGGACACTCATTGAAAAGTGGGCAAACCGTAGACATGTGTTTCTGCAACTTAGCCTTCGATAGAACGGTATAGCCAAATATAAAGAAAAGGCAACACTTGGTTGTTAAAAAGGGTCAAAACAATCAAGCGGATTCAATAATCAGGGGCCAACTACGGATTTGCGTCATCGTCGGAAGACCTTGTGAATGCAAAGAAACCTGCCAGGAAATACTCTTTTGATCCTCAAGATAACCTGTTATATCCATGCTAGATTAAGCAGCACTGGAATAATATCTGTAGACCATGTTCTAAAAAATCTCCTACTGTAGCCATAATAGATTACTGAAAAGATTGCAGTTGATTGGTCGATACTGAGGTTGTCTGACATTCGAAGTTCAAGGTTCCCTAGTAACCGCAGAAACTTATCCATATGAGGACATCTCAGTCCTCTAAAGGTTATTTAGCCTCCGGCTTGGGTGATTTATCGTTTAAACGTGAGCGTTTTCTAACCTGCTCAGCAGGGGTTTATTTTCTCCCTTGATACAGATTCTGCTTCTGCAGCTCATAAATTTGCTGAAAGGCAGATTCATAAAATATCCTGCTCGTGTTAGGAATCACACGTTGAAAGGTAAAACCTCGTTAGTCCTTAGCTCGCATAAGTTCTCAACTTTTGAGAATGGGAGCGACAGCTGATTAACGGAAAAACAGATTTTGAACAGAAGGCATTGACTTGCATTGACTTGCTTCATGGGTGCACCACCAAGCCTCCTAGGTTTGTTCACAAGATGAAGAGAACTGAGGAGTTCTTGCTTTAGATACGATTGCAGAATAATTTGGCGTAGTTAAGACAATGCCCATCTCTTGGTAGATCAACTTATCATTACAAAAACAGATATTTTTCATAAACTTTTTCTGAATATTTTCAGTGGAATTCATATACCGACTTTATATAAAAGATACTTCTGGAGCACCCTGTGAGTAGAAATAAATATTGTTGTTCCAGGAACACATCATAAGAACAGCATCGAGCCATCACCAGTTCCTAGACTTCACCAGCATATTCATAAGCTTCTGATAGCATCTGATTTCACTTTTGATCATCATAGTAGTATACAGGTGGGTTAGAACAATTGTTCATTGTGGTAATGGATAAACATAAATGGTGTAAAAATTGGAGTATTTGATTCTTGGCCTCCGGTATGAAATGTATCTCTACATCCAAAGTAATTCGCACCCACAGCTTTGAATGAACTTCTGTTAGTTTCTTTTGAGCTCCCTATTTTCTTTTATTCTTCGTCCATAACTACATTCAGACAGAATTCAAAGATATTTTGCGAGAATATTCTTCATTTATCAATCATGTCAGTCAGATCTGACATTTTCAGTTTTTGATCAATCAAATATATATTCAGTTTTGAGTTTTTACCATAATGAAGGATTTTTTTAAGGAAAGTTTGAAAGATCTGTTACAATTTTTGAAAAATATGCGTGGCACTAAAAAACTGGAAATAACCTCTGAAGACTATATTACGACATACAAGGTGGGTGAACATTTTCATATCAATATTTCCTTTGAACGCTATAGCAAATTTCACACTGACAAATATTCCAAACAAAATTATTGACATTTTCATAGTTTTAATGAAAAATTAACTATTTTGGTTTTCTTCAACACCATTAAGAAATGAATAAGGTTCTAAGTGAAATAATTTATTCAACAGCGAAATTATCAGATTATGCTTTTAAATATGGAGTTCTGGTTTTCAATTATGGCATTATAATTTTTCATTTCAGTTGAAAGAAATCTTGAAATTTCTATACATCAAAACATTCATATGTGATTATTGCAAATAATAAATAATTGGGTTCAGAAAAAACGAACTGGGACCAACTTGAATACAAAATGTGGTTTAAATAGAATAATTATGAAATTTTGAATTTTTCACTAATTCCCAAAACTCTGCTTTATTTTGCCAAGCTTTCGCTTCTAATGAGAAGCTTCTTCAAAGCCTATAATTTATCAAGTTCTGCATTTTTTTTGTCTTTGAATACTATAACAAATTATACTTACAGTGAAAATAAGTGAAAAACAATTAAGTGAACATGAAATTTAATGGAAAGAAGAAAAGGATTTTTTTATGTTCGACAAATGTCATACCTTCACATAAATGTCATTTTTCAATTGGCATGATGATTTGAAAATCGTTAACTTTAAAGAGAGAGCTATTGATTGATAAAATTTTCATTATTATTATATTATTTTTGATGTAGTTCAAGTAAGTTACTGTTGTTGAGATTATCAATATCAGTTTTTTCATTCATATAATCAGAAGACTTGATTTCGACCATTTCAAGAAAAAAGCGTTTTGAAATATTTCTTCTGTATGTAAAACTGTAATATTACAGTAATTTGGTTTATGTCCTGTTTCCATAGGGTGTTGTGCTAATGCACATGATTTTTATTAAGTTTTATGTGGTTATTCTATCATAAAGTTATTCCAATATAATCCAAGTTACAATTGTTACAAAGAAAGTTATCATATTTTTTTAATCCCTTTTTATATTTCCATTTAGTATTCAAATTCTTTCTAGTTTCAATAGTTTTTTGTCATATTTTGATATTTCGTTCATTATGAAAAAGTTTTATGATATCTGACGATAAATTTCCAAGGTTAGGTATAGATTTAAAAGAAAACTTGATAGGTGAATTATCATTACATAAATTACAGTATTGAAAATTATTTTATTGAGAGTTTTTTTGAGATAAGAATGATCGATCAATATGTCTCTGAGAAGACTGATTTTTTTTGTTTGAGGGAAGGGTGTACAAATTTTTCTATATTTTTTCAAACAGAGTATATTGAAATGGTCGAAATTATGGAGTCTTCTGATTGTATGAATAAGAAAACTGACATTGATAATCTAAACAACATATATAGTAACTTACTGGAACTACACCAAAAAGATAACAATAATGAATAACTTTCTCTTCAGAGTTAACGATTATCAAATCACCATGCCCATTGAAAAATTACATTTATGTGAAGGTATGACATTTGTCAATCAAAAAAAAATACTATACATGTTCAACTTCATTGTTTTTTATTAATTCATTTAGTAAGTGTAATTTGCAAAAATATCCACAACTTGATAAAAATTATAGGCCCTGAATAAGCTTCCCATCAGAAGAGAAAGCTTGGCAGAGTAGAGCAGAGTTTTGATTTTTGACTGAGAGACCCCTTTAATCCATTTTACTGTATATTTCTCCAGTCGCTAAGATAATCAATCCCGGTATCACATTTTAGGATAATCGGGTTTTAATGAAGGCCTTATGTACCCCATGCAGCACTTAGGAATTGAAGGTACTTAATGTTCGTTTTCCAACTCGATTCGAATCCATGTAAATATGATCCCAAAAGTTTGTTTTGTTTCGGACAAACTGATCATTCGTTATCAGTTCTGATATGAAATCCATTTTACTATATTCGTAGGCTGGGAACACTGCACAAGTAATACCGATACAGAGACATTGAGAATCAAACAATTTTTAGCACACCGTCCACTGGATTCTTCAGATAGTAAGTAGATTCACTTGGATTTGGTGTTTCTCTGAGAAATTTACATCAATAGCCAATGTTGTATTACGAGTATCCCTATGAAGTGTAATACTTTCCAATACTCAAATATAGTGGTAGATTATTTACGAATAAAAAAAGTAAGTCTCATTGATCATTCTAGATTTTTACGTATATTCTCCAATGATATTCTTCTATCTGAATTTCTGTACAGTTGGGTACTAAAAATGTCACTGAAAATGAATTTGACGTTCTTTTCGTCGTTCTGTCAAAAAAATCCATGCTGATGTATAAGATATTCTATATTAAGTTTCGTTATACACATATCTTCCAATCATTCGGTCCATAACTTATTGTTTACAGATTTAGGATAGTTTCATTTTTGAAATTCAAACTTCATCTTGTTCAACAGTTTGCAAAAAACCAAATCAAGTGAGAATTGAGTATTTGAATCAGTCACCTGGCAATCAGCAACTGAAAAAGTTTTCTATTATTTCGATACCACTTTTTTCAACTGTCCCACTGATTTTCAGTTGATTGCAACTGTTTCAGCTAGTGAGAACGACAATGTATGAACCTGTTTCGGATCGATGTATTACGACTACCATCATCAAGCCTAGCAAACTTCCATCAGACGAATATCCCGTAAGCGGATATGGTGATAGAAGAGATTTACCGCCCCCAGAGAAACCCCCTCGTAGAAACAGCAGAGCCTTGAGACGGACCAGTCAACAGGAATCGAATGAAGGTAAAAATATACAATTTTCAAGCAACTTCGTCGTTGGTAACAACAATAACTTTTGTAATAAAAGGGAATAATGGAACCTCTGGCGTAAAATGAATCCAAAACGAGCACTTTTCCCTATCACTTCCTTCCCCTGAAGACGCCAACTTAGTTGGTGAAACGCGCGTCAAGAAAAGTATTGCTTATATTGTGATTGGAAAAAGTACTCGTTTTGGAATAACGTATGTCATAAAATCGCTTTCAATAAATGTATTCCACTGTAAAGATGATACAAATATTTGTACCATATCTGTCTTGAAAGAACGACTGTTTTCCTCGGATAAGGAGTGAACTTTGCCACTCAGCTCCGAAATCTTATGATAATACGAAAAATATTGATATAAAATGCAATGAGGACGTAAATAGTCCACTATTAGTTCACAAAACTGCGTCTTAATTCAATTCATGTTATATATTTGGTTTATGAAGGTATTTCTTGACAGTGGTTATTGATACATCATTCTCACGAGCAACTTATGTCGAGGACTGCAGGGGGTTATTTACTACAGACGCAACAATTTCTATATGTTTCTCGTTCGAGACAAATTTTTTTCCAGCACCTCTAGCTCTTCTTCCAGCTGTTTGAAAATTTTCAACCGATCCTTTCTTTAATTTTTTGGAGGTTACGCACTTTTTTACGATGAAGAAGAATAGAAAACCGAAAAGCCTGTGGGCCAAAAAACTAATCTCTCTTGAAAATATTCTCTTCTCCACTCACAATGGCTCATCCTTGAGCAGCCTGATGTGAAACTTCCACTGAACAGGTTCAAATTGATGGAATTGAACCACCGGTTCACACAGTGGTCGATTCAGTGAGTGGAGCAAAACATCCTCGTTAACCCAAAGGCCTAATTAAACAAACATTTCTCGAATAGTTATCAAAAGAATTCAAAGAAGGCTGTGTGATTTATATTATTATAAAAAGCACCACCATTATAAATACATACTTTTTCATATTTTCAACATATATTTTTCAAAGTACAATGTGACGCAAACACAAACCCAGATGCATAAACATAAACTGTTCTTGTTCATCTAGTATAGTGAGGCTAGTGTCATCTATCATAATTTGATAAAAGTGAAAGATAAAAAAAGTGAGATCGAAATATATCAAGGAAGTTACGTAAAGCGCCATCTGCCCGCGAATAGATCAAGCAATAATGTCGATAATTCTGTCAAATACAGATCCAGAGCTTGAGAGTTACAAGCAAACAAACAAACGAACAAACAAACATATATACATACATACATACATACAGGTGAAGCTAATAAAAGCGTGATGAATGAATAAATAAAAAAAAGTATTTCAACATATTTTCCCTACAAATTCTGTGTTTATCGTCCTTCAACATTGTTTATCATTGTTGAAAAATCGTTTTGCAATATGTTGATGTTCGAGATTACCTAGTTTTCATGCTACCTGATTCGAAATTGCCTATGAACGGTGTAGAAATATCCGATCTTGAATACACTTGAGTGTTCGTAAAAATTGAACAATCACTGTCACTTGATGAACAACATTCCACTCACAGGAAGGAATTTGTACATCGAAAAAAGTGCAGCAGACTGTTACGGTTTTGTACAGGAACATTACAAGTGCGATAATTGTTAATTAACAACTCTGAGATTTTTTGGAGCAATTTTTGAAAAGTCTCAATATAGATTCCCGTTGAAAACTTAAAAAAAATAGCTATTTTTCCATTTACTATTAACAATTCACTTATCATAATTTGTCTTACTCTTTGATAACTGAAAAAAAGTTTTATTCAAATTTCCATTGTTTATTTAACGAACAATTTGTTATAAACATTTGAATTTTTTCTATATATTGTTTCTCTTTCTACACAATGTGACAAAACAACTATGTATTATTTTTCGATATCTCATATCGAATTTTAGAAATGATGTTCTCCTTTACTCCATCATTGTCACCAGGACATGTGCCAAAAAAGTCTGGAAAAAAAACTTTTTCTTAACATTGGTTGTCTGATTCCAACTTGAAAGTATGAATTAGACTTGTCGCGAATGATCGTTCAAGAGCTCAGTGTGACTATACAAATTGATATTTATTTTTACTTTTCAAAATCATCATTTCAAACTGAGAAAGATTTGATCGAGACGACAGCTTTTGACTGCTGCAAATTTAGAAAATTCGGTACCATCTACTGAGTTGCGCGGTTGCATGATCCTGATTCCTGACATTAGTGACAGTTCAGTTTTGTAGTATCTGAACGGTACACAAACTACAAACTACAAACTAAGTTCTGTGGTATTCAATTTTGTATAGGGCGCATGAGCGAACTGATTGCGTCAGATATACTAGCGTAGCGGAATATGGAGCAATTAGCGGAATTTTGGTTCATGTGTAGCGACTTCATAGTTAATCCAGTTGGCAACACTGATAAGACATCCTTATGCAAAACTTGATTACCTTCTGCATTCATTTGAGTTTCTAGCTCGTGAGTTATAAGAGGATCGATAGACTATTCAAGAATTTCAAGGTACAGATTGACAGCCAAGTTCTCTCCCAGGAATAATGGACCAATAATGGTATTTTCAATAATACCAGCCCAAACATTAACATTTTGTAAATGTTGTGTATGCTCTTTCCGAAAAATATGTGGGTTTTTGTCACTCCAATAGCAACAATTTTGTTTATTAACATTGCCACTCAGAAAAAATTAACACTCATCGCTAAAACACATGTTTAACAGAAGATTAGGGATGGTATTGACTCAATGAGACATGATTTCACACATGTCTGTTCTTCTATTATGATCATCCTCATGGAACTCTTGAAGAATTTGTATTTCATAAGGATGAAGTTTATGCATTTTCAATGCATTTCTCACAGTCTCGCGTGGCATTCCCGTCTGTTCTGATACTGATCGTAAGGAGCTCGTGGGTTTTGCACAAAATTTTCCCAAAACTTCAATTTGAGTTGCTTCATTTAGTACTCTGGTGTTATTTCTATTTTATTTGTCACTGAACCAGTTTCGTAAAACTTATTCACCAAATCAAGCACATACCGGTCACTCGCTTTACAATTTGGATGTCTTTCTTTTAAAAGGCATGCGCCCTTCGTGCGCACTTTCGAACTTCTCCCTAAATTATGATATATTCAAATATGTCTTGAAGAAGGTAAACCATTTTTACACTTTTATACAGTTAATAGCCCAACAGGAACAACTGTATGCACAATACTACCACATCGTTCAAATGTGCGAACCAATTTTTTGTCTGAAAACAGAAACTTTACAGCAGAAGTAGCCAAAAAGGACAGCTATATGTACACTCTCTGCGGTGAGAATTAAAAATTCAGCAGTTACTAAACACAACTATACTACCATCTACGGTTTACTATTAGACTATTTTTTGATGAAAATTGGAAATAAGGGCTAATGTTACCCCTAATCAGGGGTTGGAACAGCACCACCTAATATTCTTACCAGTTCTGGTCAAACCATGCATCTCAGTATAGGCTACTAATGATTACNAGTTTAAGCTTATTATAGGGGCTCCCCAGTCATACACCGCTGAGTACTTCTGCCGCAACCACGGGTTTTTTCCTGTCTAGTCTTGACTCCGGTCATGAAAACATGCGTATTTTTATTTCGCAATCATCTTTAAAACACATCACTAATCTGAAATTGATTTAATCGTCTCGTGTAGTGAACAATCAGATGAATTTTGGTTCGCAGAGCAGAATGTAAGATCATATCTTATGGGCTCAAACCTAGCCGAGTCGGATAAAATATAAATGATAATTTTCGTTCATTCATTCGAATATTACAGAAAGCCCATGAAAGATTTTAGCTGATTACTCAACACAAACACTACTGAACTTTTCAAAATGTATAAAAATTCAGTCACTAAGAGCGCTTTTCCAGTAGGTGTCCTTATTTCAAAGAACGTTGTACATTGACCACTATGCTTTCGATATTTCAATTGGTTCTATCACAAATCACCAAAGAAATAAAGGAGTAGAAATTGAGATTTTCACACATACTTCTACTGTCTTGCAAGTTCAAATATCCTGCTTCAAAATAATACTTTTGAGATCCCAGACATCTATGGTTTCAAGAATGAAAAGAATGATAAAAGACACTAATCATGTTCAATTACCTGTACGTTTGAAGCTTCGAAGAATCCTGGGGTTCGCATGTGCTTGGCTTAATAAAATACACATCTTTCCTAGACGGAGGTAGTTTCTTATGAAAAACTAGATGCACTGAAACACGTGTCATCTCTGGAAGACAAAAGCAGTACTGGTTGAGTTGTTCCAGTACCATCGCTATATCTAGATCGGGAACAAATGCTGCTACACTTATATAGCCATCCCAATGTCTGAAAAGTTAAAGTATGTGTAGTACCAAAATTTTTATTCGAAATTTCTTGAGAGAAATGTATTCAATCAAAACACATTTCCCAGATAGCAAAACTAGACTACGAATCAGAATATGTGAAAATGGTCCTTGAAAGAAGTTGATATTGTCTGCTTAGCACAGCTTATTTAGTGAATCCCAGATTGTCGTTCCCAACACCATATCTCTTCAATTGACAAACATGTGCCAATATGTTCCTCTAATTTTTAACGCTATTTTTATATTTAATTTTCAAAAAATCTAGTTCAACTCATTGATGTATGTGGAAGATCCATGAATAATGCATGTTCACCTTCTTGAAAACTCGAAGATTTACGAATATACTATCCTAATGCTAGCGTCTCAATTGATTTATCGACAATAACAAACAAATACAGTTGAATTTGCCACTGAGTTTGAGATTCGTCGATATAAACCAAAATACAAAAATAAATTGGTCTGGATTTTTGAAAACATTTCGAATTCAATTCTGCTTGTTCCCTTCAGCAAGTGTTGGAAAATAAGAAAGATGATAGAAACTGGAAAGTCTGGAATTCACAAAAAAGCTGTTAGGATTGTGGCAAAAAAATATGTTGGTGAAACTGAGCAGACTGAAGTCGTTTCACAAAAAAGTCTAGCGTCTCTCAATATGTCTTGCAGAATGAGCTCATAATAGATGTACTATTTGATTACTCAAATATGGAGCGCAATAGTATTGATGTGTGGGAACAGTATTTTCATTAGAATACTCTAGACACTAGTTGTGGACTAGAGTATTACTGGTAACTATAAATGGCATGATTCGTAATCGAATAAAACTACTAGATGGAAAAAAATACTAAAGGCTGAAATTAAAGATGAAACTATAACTCAACAACAAATCATACTCACCTTGCGAGTTCAGGAAGATAATTCATAAAATCAGCTGTTACGTGAGTAGCATATGTAACAGCAGGAGTATCCGGGGCCATCTTGGCGCCGATCACATTGTAGAGTATCCTGTAAGGACTGTCTTTCCCGAGCTCAGGTCCGAAGTCCAAGTCACTAGTGACGAAATCCAAATCCTTCGGAAACTTGTAGTGGAAGTTGCAGTAGCTGGAGTTAGAAGGATCGGGTCGGGCATTTCGAAGAAAAGCTCCAGGAATAGACGGGACCCTTGTTGTGGGCTCTTCTGAAGATTGTAGCTCGACAGTGATGAGTTGAGTCTTTGAGTTGAAGGAAGAACCGGATAGGAAGAGAACAGATAAGATAATGCACGTGAAAATGAAAGTCAGAAGAAAAGACGTGCGGTTGATCTTGGAATTATTCATGGCATCACCTGCAGCTTGATGGGCTTCGTCAACAGTTGCATTGGTTCAACCTGGAAGAAATGGTATTTTGAATACAAGATGACTATTGAACTCATGTAGAGAAAGATCTCAGATACTAATAAGAGATCATGTAAGACATAACACAGTATTGAAAATTTTATTCAAATGAGCGTATTATATACTTCATCGCTTCAATGAGTTACTTTTTCATTCCAATAAAAATTTTGAATATACCAAAACTTGGNACCGATGATTATTTAACGTACTTTTCGAAATTGAATTCATAATGCACGGTTTCAATTGTCATCGAAGATTTTTTGTGAAATATTGTTATAATACTGTATTCAAGTATCACTTGATAGTGAGATTTTCACTGAACAGTTCACAAAACCTCAACATGTGTTTCATTATACTATAGCTATAACAGCTATAGTATGAACACGCATGAGGAAGCTATTGTATAGTGAAACACTTATTATAGTTTTGTGTAACTGTTCAGAGAAAATCTCAAAGTAAAGTGTAATTCGAACACGTTATGGATTTTCATCAAGTATCAGCAAATTCCATCATATTTCCTAAATTCATATTGTCAACTCATTAAACTATAGGTACTCATGAATATTTTTGCTTGATATGGTGAATGAAGATTGTTTATTTATTTATACAATGAAAAACGTTTCAAGTTGCGCATTTACCTGACTAACAATATGCCGTTAATAAAGTGATGAAATTCCGAGTATACCCGGAAAAAACAGAAATTTCAGAAAATGGTTTTTATTTTTCTGGCTTAAATTTTCGAAGTATTTGAAAATACATTGCCCTTTCAGGTTGCCACTTTTTCCCTGCTACATAATGGTGTTTTCATATTTGCTATCCGACGTTTCGTCTTCCAGCCACAGTCATCAACTTGATTTTTTGTTAATCATAATAGGCTTTGACTATGATGTTTCTAAATTTGTTATTGTCCAAGTCATTGATTTTTTTTCGAAAAATGGCTTTCACGAATGAAAAAAAGAGATTTATTACAAATACGATAGAAACAGTGTTAGTACATCGAAAATATACTTGAACTTCGGAAAATGGTTTTTATTTTATTCTGGTCTTATTTTTTGAAGGATTCGAAAATACATTGCACTTCCATATTGCCACTTTTTCTTTGCTACATAATGGTGTTTTCATATTAGCTATCCGACGATTCGTCTTCCGGCCACCATCATCAACTTTATTTTTTTATGGGCGCTACAGTGAAATCTTTCTGTTTTGAATAGAATCAGATTTTACCTCTTCAATAATGTATCATAAGTTATCATTCTTTTTCAAAGAATTGGACACTTTAAAAAAATCAATTCTTATCATAATAGGGTTTGACTTTGATGTTTCTAAATTTGTTGTTGTACAGGTTATTGAATTTTTGTCGAAAAATGGCTTTCACAAATGAAAAAAGAAGATATGATACAAATTTATTACAAATACGATAGAAACAGTGTTTAGGACATCGGAAATGTATTTGAACTTGTATCTCGAAAGTCGACAACCAACATCGAACTATGTTCAAGTTATTGGATCACAATCTCACCGAGTTTGGTTCGTTTGAAAAGCCAATGAAAAAATACGAAGACAGAATCAACAATCGAAATTTTATAAATGAGGTGTGTATGAGGTGAATTAGACATTGTGTCCATTTCAATGAAAATAGAACTTTGAACAAATAACAATAACTAACTAAAATGTAAAGACAAAAGTGAATCATAACAAATGCTCAAAATACTGACCTTGTTCACGATAACACAACTGTGCACTTCTTCGAATATTATTCACTGCACGATTAATTACCCTCCTCCTCAATCTTCCCAACTCTCTAACAATGCTGTGTTAAATTGAATTTCGATATTTCCTCTGACCATAATATATATTTTTCAGTGTACCCTATGAGAATGTATCCATAACACTCAAGTCTGGAGACCTTGCTGGCCACCTCACCGGCACATTATTTCCTATCCATTCATCACCAAACCTTTCAGTCAGGTAATTAGATACTCGTCTGGTAGTGTGCGGTGGAGC